GGACAGGGTGGCCTCTGAGACCCTGTCTAGCTCTAAATGTATGATCCCATGATTATCTGCTGAGAAGAGGGAGAAGAATAGCCCCAGGGGTTGAGAGGAGGAAAAGGCTCAGAGCAGTCTAGGGGAAAGTGTGGGGAGAGTCAATGAGGGATTGCCACATTGAAGAGAGGTCCTCTTGAGATCAGATAGTGTGAATTGAGTTTTCACCATTTTGAGTCTTCCTCGAGCAGCATTCAACAGCCCTGTAGTAGGAGTGGGAAAAGTAGATGATAGGCATGGAGGTTTGACCACTGGGGCATTGAATTTTGGCAGTTCGTAAGCCAAGGAAGGACAAAGGAGGGAAGAGAGTCAAGAGTGGGTGATAGGCCATAGTTGAACTGGTTAACTTTGGGGTCGAGGCTATAAAGATAAACTCTAAAATGAATGTTACATTGGGAAAACAGGGAAGGGATACAGATACAAGCAAAAAGAAAGACAGAGCCTGCCCCTTAAGGAGCTTATGTCCTAATGGAGGAAAATAACACAAAAGGGAGCTAGAAAGTGTGGTTGGAGGAGGAATATGGAGGAGGAGAAGGAAGGAGAAATGCAGCAGGTAGAAAAGAAGGAAGAGGATTCAGGAGAGTGTCTAGCTGTGAGCAAGGTGAAGCATGGCTGGGGTCCTTCCTAAAATGGTGGTCCAAGGACGGCGAAGGACAAGGGGTTATGATTGAAAGGCATTTCAGAGTTCAAGACCATAGAGGTAACAGTTATGGTGCAGTCTGAGGTGGGACCATACGTGGACAGCTAGGGTAGAGTAGAGATGTAGGTCACCGGAGGAGCTGAGGAGGCCTTGTTCTAGGGCAGTGATGTCAAACTCAAACAGAAATGGATTTCTGCAGGTGGCATATTGGCTTGGAAAAACACTAATTAACGTTATCTATTTTGTGTTGTATTTTTGTTTATTTTGTTAACCATTTCCCAATTATCTTTTAATCTGACCACAAGCAATGAAAGTTTAACATCTTTGTGCTAGGGGATTTGTTGTTATTGTTTAATGTTTAGTAGTTTTGGACTCTTGACCCTATGGACCATACTGTCCATGAGGTTGGTGGGTTTTTTAAAATTTAATTTAATATCTTATTTTTCCCCAATTACACATAAAAATAATTTTCAACATTCATTTTTAAAACTGAGTTCCAAATTCTCTCCCTCCCTCTCTACCCCCCTCATTGAGAAGGCAAGTAATTTGATATAGATTATACATCTGTAATCACGCAAAAACATATTTCCATGTTAGTCATGTTGTAAAAGAAAATAATAACTTTCTATGGTCAGAATTTTTTTCTTTTGGTTGCTCATTTTCTCAGCCTGTTTTTTGACTTTTAATTCTTTGCTAAAGCAGGGTTCTGCTTCCAGGGTGGAAGGTGTAGTGGCCCAAGCTTCAGGAGTTTTGTGCAGCTGTTTTCAGAGATACTTGTATGGACCTGTAAGGTATCAGTTTTTCCCAAGGTGGTATGATCTAAGGAAAGGTGTTTACTACTCTCCTGGCCTGTGCTCTGGTCTGTGAGTGACCACAAGCACTCTTTTCTGCCCTGGCATTGTGAGGAATGTCCCTGCTCCTCTACAGCTGCCAGCTCTGGTGTGCTAGTACTCCTCCTGGCCCTGGGACTGCCACCCAGGACTGTGATGTGGATCTGAGTATGGGCAAAACAATAGAGTCCTGCCTTGGGGCTAGCAAAGAGACCCCATAATATCCTTCTGACCAGTTGTTCAACCTCCTTACTGTCTGTGGGCTGAGAGCTCCAGAAGCAGCTGCAGCAGCTGCTGCTTCATTCCCTCCCAAGGCCTGCTCCTGGTTTGCTAGGGCCTGCTATGTACTGATGTGGCATGCTCTGGACTGCCCCCTACTCTTACCCCCCAGTGCGACAGACCTTTCCTACCAAACTTTTAAGTTGTCTTGGGCTATAAAATTGTTTCACCCCATCCTTTTGTGGGTTCTGCCACTCCAGGATTTGTTTCAGGGCATTATTTAAAGGTCTTTTGGGGGGGTTGGGGAAGAACTCAGGCGAGTCCCTGCCTTCTCTCCTTGATCTTGAGGCCCCTTCTTCCCCAGTGAGGTTTTCTTGGCAAAGATACCAGAGTAGTTTGTCATTTCCTTCTCCAGCTCATTTTACAAATGAAGAAGCTAAGGCAAACAGAGGTTATGTGACTTGCCCAGGGTCACACAGCTAGTAAGTGTCTGAGGCCAGATTTGAACCCAGGTCGTCCTGACTCTAAGCCTGGCTCTCTATCCCCTGTATCCCATAGCTACCTGAGGCTGGTAGGTGATAGTGAAAAAGATCTGGATGGGGGTGACATAGAATTAATGAATGAAAAAGCATTTTATTAAGTACTTCCTCTCTGTTTAATATATATTACATATATTACTGAATATGTAATATTATATTTCTATGTGTTAAATAAATGGAGTGCACTTTGAAAATAGAGAGGTTGCTGGGCAATGGTGGCAGGAGGCTCTGGGAAGAGGCTACAGAGACCAAAAAGAATGTCAACACTGTACAGTGGAAAACTTGCTGGGTTTGGAGTCGGGGCCTGAATTCAAATTTTGAGTCAACCATTTACTATGAATGTGACCTTGGGCAATTCTTGCATACTCTCTGGGCATCACTTTCCTCAGACTTCCCCAGGGTTATGCAATTAGCAAATGGCAGAGGCAAGGTCCCTCAAATCAAATGAGAAAGTGAGATTAGATGACCTCTAAGATCCCTTTCAGTGTTAAATCTGTAATCTTCTTCCAACGGTGCTATGGACCACTCTTCATCCTCTTATCTTTGGATTGTAGTCCCTTTCTGTCTTTGATCCTTCTCTCTCCAAAGGCCCTCCCTTCAGCAGATTCTCCTGCTTCTCAGAATCTTCCAGCTGCCTGACAAATCCTCTCAGCTCCAACACACACACACACACACACACACACACACACACACACACACACACACACACACACACACCCCTCCCCATTCCACCCACTCACTCCCTCTGTGCATTCTGGGGGTATGGCAGCTCTAGGGTAGCATTGCATCCAGACGGGGTCAGCCCGGCCAGGCTTTGGAAGCAGGAAACATGCCAATGGAGTAGCTTCATTCTCAAACTGGTTTGGGTTTGTCCCTTCCCTCTGTGCTCTGGAGATCATTTCTGTCAGTGCCGCAATTGATGGTTGGAGAAAATACTTACGAGGAATCTTCAAAAACATCTGTCAGCCACAGAAATGTGGATAGTGTGGAAGAAGCTGCCTCTGCTTTTTCCACCCCGTGTGGTGTCAGAGATGATGCACAGGAGGGAAGAGAGTAATAGCAGCTAGAATCAGTCAGTCAAACAGGCATTTATTAAGCGTCTGCTATGTGCCAGCATGGTGCCAAGTGCTGGGGATAGAAAGAAAAGCAAAATCACAGCCCCTGTCCTCAGGAAGCTCACAGGTTAAAGATGCTGATGCATCGGTTTCCATTTTCATTTCAGATGCTTTCCCATAGCCTGCCATCTTTAAGGCTCAGATTAAATTGTTTCAATCCAAAGAACTGGAAGAGGAGTAGCGTTTATTAAGCACCTGTTGTATGCCAGAAACTTTGCTAAGTGCTTTACAAATATTACCTCATTGGATCCTCGCAACACCCCATGAGGTGATATTATTGTCGAGTTGTTTCGGTCACGTCTGACTCTTTGTACCCCCGTGTGGGGTTTTCTGGGGAAGGGTACTGGAGTGGTTTGCCCTTTCCTTCTCCAGCTCATTTTACAATTGACGAACTGAGACAAACAGGGTTAAGTGACTTGCGCAGGGTCATATAGCTGGGAAGTGTCTGAGGCCAGATTTGAACTCAGGAAAATGAGTCTTCCTCGCTCCAGGCCCAGCATTCTGTGCACTGGGGTGCCCCCTAGCTGATGCTATTATTATTCTCCATTTACAGCTGAGAAAACTAAGACAGATTAAATGATTTGCCCAGGATCACACAGCTAGTCTGAGGCTGGATTTGAACTCAGGTATTCCTGATTCAGGGCTTAGCTCTATCTACTCTGCCACCTGGCTGTCTCTGAGGCATAGAATTGGACCTTGAAGATAATCCCTGTTTTTCTTTTCCTCAGGGATGTTGTAAAGCTTGTACTTTCTCCAACGAGAGAGGTGGCTTCTTAGAGGTGATCAAAGAGGTGACTCAGCATACCTTTATTAGTGTTTTATAATTTACAAAGCACTCCACATGCATTATCTCACTTAATCCCTGAGGTGTTGAAGCATAGGCATGCATAGAGGATGAATCTGACGTGGACCTCATATGCATGGGAGCTCACTCTATGCGCATATGTACTCAGCATACTGTTGGAGAACAGTAGAGTCAGAAAGACCTGACTTTGACTCCTGCCTTGGGCACTTACTTAGCTGAGTCACTTTGCCCAGACTTCCCCAGGGTTATAAAAATGGCAAATAGCAAGGGCATTTTGACCCTGGGCAAGTCACTTAACCTCTCTGTGCCTCAGTTTCCTGATCTTTCAAATTGAGATAATAAAAGTACCTACTTCCCAGGGTTGTTGTGAAGATCAGATGAGTTGACCCAGGTAAAGTGCTTTAGAAACCTTAAATTGCTACACAAATGAAAGCTATTGTCATTATTATTTATTATGGGAATAGTCTTGCCTGGTATCATGAGCTTCAGTTTACAGATGAGAAAACTGAGGCAATAGGAATGATTTCCCTCAAGGTTCTACAAATGTAAATAGCAGAGGCAGAGTGGTTGTTTTCATTTCTGTTTTGTTTTTTACTTTAAATATGCTGGGGTTTTTTTTAAGTTTGATTCATTTTTATATCGTTTTTTTCCAAAGACTCCATCAGTCCCTCCTCTCTCCCCTCCCATCCTGAAGTATAACTAAGCAAAACAAATCATCAACAAATTGCACATCTGGATATTTTCACCTGGTTCCGTCCTTGGAGAGTACACCACCGATCTCTGTCAAGAGGTAGAAGGCTTATTTCACCATCAGTCCTCTGCATTCACAACAGGTCACTACACTCACTGTTCAGCGTTCCAGCGTCATTCTAAGTTGTTTCCTTCCATTCTGGTAGTCATCGTGTGACCTGTTCTCGTTCTGCCTCCTTTCTTCTGCATCCATTCACCATCCATCCCATAGCCCAACCACCTGCATCAAAGTCATCTTCCTGAGTTTCTCTGATTCTTCTCTAAAGCCACAGTTTTTTAAGACAAAGCAAACCAGGAGGCAAAGTCACATGACAGAGCCAAGCATTGGCAAGCCAAGTCGGGGAGGCAAAAATGGAACCACCATCTTCAAAAAGCTCTTGTGGAAATTTGAGGGTGGTTAGTTGTGAAATTAGCCCATCCAGACATGACAAAAAAATGACTAAACAGCAGCTAAATTTATATAGCGTTTTAAAATTTGCAAAGTGCTTTCCCTGTGTTATCTCATTTGGTCCTTGACAACAACCCCGTTTTTAAGATAGGTGCTATTATTATCCCCATTGAATTGATGAGGAGACTGAGGCTGAGAGGCATTAAGTGACTTACCCAAGGTCACACAGCTAGTAAATGCCTGAGACAGAATTTGAACTCAGAGCTTTCCAGTCCCCAACTCCAATGGTCTATCCACTGTGCCCAAAGTCACAGAGGTTGCATTAGTGTTGGGATTTGAACTCAGGTCCTCTGATTTCAGTCAGTGCTTTTCCTACCAGAGAAGTTAAAATAAGATAAAGATAAAGTTGGGGCAGGTAGGTGGTGCAGTGGATAGAGCTCCGGCCTTGGAGTCAGGAGGACCTGAGTTCAGATCCAGGGTCTCAGACATTTGACACTTACTAGCTGTGTGACCCCTGGCAAGTCACTTATCCCTGACTTCCTCACCAAAAAGCAAAAAATAAATAAATAAAGATAAAGTTTTCAAAAAAACATTGGGTGTCCACAGCTGAATTACTGTGTACGATTCTGGTCTCTGCCCCTCGAGAAAAAAAATGAAGTAAACTCAAATCAATCTCATGATGGAACTCGAGGACACTAATAATTGCTTATATTTGTATAGCACTCTGCCTAGGATGTTACAGCATCCCTGCCGCAGAAGGCAGGTATTGTTATCCCTATTTAACAGATAAAGAAACTGAGGCTCAGACCAGAATCTCATTACTAATGATGGAGGCAGAATTTAAGCCTAGGTCTCTGACTCCAAATCCCATGTTCTTCCTCTTACCCCCCTGCGAGATGCTAAGGTCCCCCAAAATGAACAAGGAGTCAGAGGGTCTTCTGAGTGACAGCACCATTAGGAAAGATGCCAGTGGTATGCTGGTAAATGCTTAGCAACTTCCGGGGGGGTGGGGGAAGAAAAGCACACAGGCCATGCTTTTGAGTTTAGTTTGCATTATTAACATTTTCTCCATCACTTTCCTAAGACTAAACAAGCAACAAGACGGATCAAGCCCTGATTTGTAACTATAGCATTTGCCAGTTTTTAAGGTTTAAACGCTCACACTGAAACTTTAACAAGCTGTTTGAGCTGCCTCTAGCACACCCCTAGATGAGGGCTGAAATAGGCTTTGAGGTTTAGAGTCAAGAAGATCTGGGTTCAAATCTCATCTCTGACACTTACTAGCTGGGCCTCAGGCAGCTTCCCAGGGCTTACCTACTAGGTGCGGTCCAAAGCTGGATGGGCTGTGGTTTTACCCAGTGTAGCATGTCTTATCTTCTGATGTAATACCCGAGGATAAGCCGTGTGCAGACAAAGTAGAGAATCCCGGGTGTTACACCTCATCTTCCCCTGTCTGACTGGGGAATGACAGTTGAGGGAACCAAGGGACAGAGCATCTCTGTGACTTGGCCAGATGACAGGTGAAACAGTTAGTTCCCAAAGAGGGGGCGGAATTCAACAAAAGATTTCAACAAACATGAAGCACCGGCTGCGTACAAAAGCATTAGGCTGGATGCTGGGGCAAAACCAAAGATAATCAAAGACAATCGCTGCACCCTTTGAACTTACATCCCTCACACCTGAGATCTAGCTAGTCTTTTGAAGACATGGACCTATTCAGTTGTGCTAAAGTTTGTTGTTCGTTGATATCGGGGGTTCTTCACTTTTGTGTGCTGTCAGTCTGGTGAAGCCCAAAGACCACCTCTCAGAATAATGGTTTTAGATGCATAAAATACACAAGATTACAGAGGAAACCGTATAGTTATCAAAATAGTGTTTTAAAAGTGCTCAGGTTAGGGGCAGCTTGGTGGCATAGTGAATAGAGCACCGGCCCTGAAATCGGGAGGACCTGAGCTCAAATCCAGCCTCAGACCAAACACTTGAAACTTACTAGCTGTGTGACCCTGGGCAAGTCACTTGACCCCCATTGTCTTAAAAAAAAATAGAAGTGCTCAGGTTAAGAGCCCCTGGTTTATATGAATTAAGGAATGATCTTTCCTAAAAACTATCAGTAGCACAGGCTGAGCAGACTTGGAGAGCTGGCTACTCACTGGTTTTGGTTGGGTTTTTTTTTTTTTGCTTTTTTGTTTTTGGCTAGGCAGTGGGGTTAAGTGACTTGCCCAGGGTCACACAGCTAGTAAGTGTAGTGTGTCTGAGGTCAGATTTGAACTCAGGTCCTCCTGAATGCAGGGCCAGTGCTCTATCTATGGTTTGGTTTGTTTGTTTGTTTTTTTAAAGGTATTTAAGTGTCCCGGGTGTGACAGGACCTCTCCTGATCCAGGATGCCAGATAGATGTTATTGCTTGGGTCGTGGCAGCCTGAGAGAGGGAAGCACAGAATCAAGGGAGAAAACCAGGTTGGAGCACACGTATCCCATCGTCAGTATGGCTTAGTGGAAAGAGTGCTAGACTTGGCATCACGAGAGATCTGAGTTCAAATCTGACCTCTCTGACAGTATGTAGTTGTGGGACCACGGGCAAGTCATGTAATCTCTGTGAGCCTCAGTTTCCTCTCTATAAAATCTTTAAAAAAAAAAGTTGTCTTAAGAATCAAATGAGCTAAGTTATTTGTTGCTGTTCAGTCATTTTCAGTCATGTCTGACTCTTTGTGACCCCATTTGGGGTTTTCTTGGTAAAAATACTAGAGTAGTTTGCCATTTCCTTCTCCAGTTCATTTTACAGATGAGGAAACTGAGGCGAAGAAGGTTAAGTGATTACACAGCTAGTAAGTATCTAAGGCTGGATTTGAATTCATGAACTTGATTCTTCCTGACTCCAGGCCCAGCACCCTATCCACTGTACCTCCTAGCTAAGTTATAAATGTCAGCTACCATTGTTATTGTAGAAAAATCATTCTATTTTATTTATTTAGAGAAATCATTTTATTTTAGAAAAATCATTCTTCTCAGTTTGTCCAATGAAGCTCAGATAGAAACAGTCCATGTAGCCCAGAGATTATGAGTTATCTGGAATGGCAACATCTATTAAAATGTTCTTTTTGAGTTTTTATGGATCAATATTATGACTTGAGCAATTGCAGGCAATGGTTCAGTCTGTCAAAAGAGCCTAGCTCCAGTGCAGTTTATTGGTAGAGTTTTCCAGAGTATTTCGTGTCTTGTATTTGTAGTAGTTTAGGGATTTGTTGTCTGTCAGTCCGTGAAAGTTGGTGAGCTTTTTATATATAGTTTTAGCTACTAGGTCAAATCTTGTGAGGTAAGCAGTCAGGGTTAAACTTTTACAGTCTGCCACAATGTGTTGCACAGTTTCTTCTGTTTCTTTGTTATTGTTTATTATTATTGTTATCATTATTATTATTATCCCACAATAGAAAAGTCAGTCTAGGGGCACAGCTGGGTGGTGCGGTGGATAGAGCACAAGCCCTGGAGGGAGGAAGACTTGAGTTCAAATCTGGCCTCACTTACTAGCTATGTGACCTTAGGCAAGTTATTTAACCCAATTGTCTCTAAGAAAGAGAGAGAGAAGGCAAGGAAGGAAGGAAGGAAGGAAGGAAGGAAGGAAGGAAGGAAGGAAGGAAGGAAGGAAGGAAGGAAGGAAGGAAGGAAGGGAGGGAGGGAGGGAGGGAGGGAGGAGGGAGGAAGGAAAGAAAAAAGAAAGAGAGAGAGAGCCTGGAAGATCTGGGCTGAAGTCCTGTCTCTGACATATGCTGTCTGTGTGACCCTGGGCAAGTCACTTAACTTCTCACTGACTGTAATACTCAGCCACAGTCGGACACACTGTACCTTGACCCCAACATAGTAAGGTCATTTTGGTCTCCTTCAAGAATGAAGGACAACGGGGCAGCTAGGTGGCGCAGTGGATAGAGTGCTGGCCCTGGAGTCAGGAGGACCTGAGTTCAAATCCGGCCTCAGACACATAACGCTCACTAGCTGTGTGACTGTGGGCAAGTCACTTAACCCCCATTGCCTAGCCAAAAAAAAAAAAAGAATGAAGGACAATAACCAACCAACACTCTAAGTTGTGGAGGCGGTGACAGCGTGTCCTTATCCAGAAGTTCCCTCCTAAATCACAGGTCCGTTCCCTGTTCCTGTTATTCTTCCACCCCTAAAAGAGCCAGAATAAGTCACTAAGCCAAGCCTTCAATGGCACAACTGATCAGTGAATGAGAATCATGCAGGTGCAAGCAAGTCACTGAAACATTCCGAGCCTCATTTTTCTCACCTGTAAAATGACAGAGTAATGCTAGATGACGTCTCAAGGTCCTTTTCAGCTCTAGGTCCTACAGGTGCAATGGATTCCCTTCCTTTCATTCTCTAAACATTGTTGAGTGCCTACTAGACGGTGGGCGCTGGGCTCTATGCTGGGGACAAAAAGACAAAGAATTGTTCCAGTAAAAGGAAGGAAAGAAAGAAAGAGAGAAAGAGAGAGAGAGAGAGAGAGAGAGAGAGAGAGAGAGAGAGAGAGAGAGAGAGAGAGAGAGAGAGAGAGAGAGAGGAAGGAAGGAAGGAAGGAAGGAAGGAAGGAAGGAAGGAAGGAAGGAAGGAAGGAAGGAAGGAAGGAAGAAAGAGAGAGAGAGCCTGGAAGACCTTTTTTTTTTTGTCTTCTCGGCACCCAGCAGAATGCCTTACTCCTAGTGCCTGGTGCATAGTAGGTCCTTGATAACATTTGTTGATTAATAAGTACATTTTAAAAATATAAGTAATTGGGGAAGGGACAGAGTGAAGCATTTACTACTGAAAAAAAATTCGAAAAGGCCTTTGGTAGAAGGTGGTGCTTGAGCTAAACCTTTAAGGGGGCTGGAGATGCCAAGAGGCACAGAGGAGAGAGGAGACAGTGTGTTTTGAGCAGGAGGACACCCTTTGCAAAGACTGCCTTACTGTCAGTAGTGGGGGTTGTGGGTATAACTTCTCTAAAGTGCTTTAAGAATAGAATAGCCCTTCTCCATATAATATCATATATAATATTATATAATACTTATATAACAGCCCACTCTCTCCTTTTACGTACTGCTTGGATGTGAGATGGCTTCGAAACTTTCCTGACATCGGGGTAATATGCTAGGTGGTGATAGATGTTTCTTCCATCCTCTCCCAAGAAGTCTAGTGCTCAGAGGTCCTTTATTAAATGTCTGGTCGGCATGCTTGTGGTCTGCTATTCCCTGGTGGCCTGATATAGGCTGGGGCTCCATGCAGAATAAACAGAGAGCGAAGGCCTGCCCTTGGAATGGGGGTGGGCAGCTGGAACTTGGGACCAGCATGGAAATGGGCACATGCTCCTCTGTGATTTTTTTGTTTGTTTCTGTTTATTTTGTGATTTCTGGAGTGGATTGGGAGGCTTTCCCCAGGATTAACTTCCTGGAAGAAGTTGGATAAGAGGAGCTTTGGGGATGGAGAAAGATGAAGGGAAGCATTGGCCAGATGGGAGATAGAAAGCTATTTCTGGAGTAGAGCTCATTGAGGGGGGTGATAGGAAAGCAGAGAGGGGAGGAGGCTAAGGGGCTAGAAGGAAATTGGCTTAGATGTACATGTGCATAACCACAGATCTTGCCATTACCTGCCCCCCCCACACACACACAATGAGCACTTCTGAGCAAAATCCCATCCTGATTATATGCTCTTCTCTTCTGGTTTTCAGACAAAATGTTCCGAAAAAAGAAAAAGAAACGTCCAGAAATCTCTGCCCCGCAGAACTTCCAGCACCGTGTCCACACGTCCTTTGACCCCAAGGAAGGCAAATTTGTGGGCCTCCCTCCACAATGGCAGAACATTCTGGACACCCTGAGGAGGCCCAAACCTGTGGTGGACCCTTCACGCATCACCCGGGTCCAGCTGCAACCCATGAAGGTGAGATGTCAGGAACCCCAGAGGAAAAGGGGTGAGCCCCACACTGATGAGGAGAAGAACTAGCACTTGGACAGCATGCTGGGGTTTGCAAAACACTTTATGTAAACTATGTCATGTGAGCCTCACAAACAACCCGGAGAGGTAGATGCTATTATTATTATTATTATTATTATTATTATTATCATTCCCATTTCACAGATGAGGAAACAGGCTGAGGAGAGGTAAATGGCTTGCTCAGGGTCTCAGCTGCTAATGATTTGAGGCAGCCTTCTGACTCAGGTCTTCCTGAATCCAAGTTCAACTGTAACCATTTTGCTACCCAGTTACCTGCTAAGCTCTCCCAAAGCCTAGAGAAAAGGAGGGGATTAAGCTCAGATTCTTCCTAGCTGGGGGAAAATAGCTTCTGTTAAAACCATATAGAAACCTCAAGGAAGCTCTTAATTATTAGTTATCAATGACCTGTTATCCTAATTCCCTACTAATTAGTCTGGGGCAGCTGGGTGGTAGAGTGGATAGAGTGCTAGGCTTGGAATCAGGAAGACTCATCTTCATGAGTTCAAATCCAGCCTCAGACACTTACTAGCTGTGTGACCCTGGGCAAGTCACTAACCCTGTTTGCCTCAGTTTCCTCATCTGTAAAATGAGCTGGAAAAGGAAATCAGTATTTTTGCCAAGAAAACCCCAAATGGGGTCATGAAGAGTCAGACATGACGGAAAATGACTGAACAGCAGCAAAAACAACTAATTAGCCTCCCTTTTCACGGAGTGGCCTAGGGAGAAGCAGCCAAGATAAGAGTCCAGGGCTCAAGGGACAGGGGTAGGATCTGGGTCTTCATCTTGCCCAGTTTTGACCCTGGGCCATCTTCTGCAAGTCTGGGGCAAATCAAGGGTCGGGGCTGCTGCTGGGTAGGGGAAGAGACCTTTGCCTCAACAGATCCATCCCCACCACAGATCCCCTGCCACGTGGGGAGATGTCTCAGCTCAGGCAGGGCTGGAGCAGAATGAGGGTGCCAAAGGTAGAGTTTGTCCAGCAAGACTGACCTCACCAGCACCAAATCCAGTGTTCACGTGGCAGGCAGTACACCCAGCCGCTTGCTAGACACTCTCCCTGCATCATCACCTTTCTGGAAAGTGACAAAACCCATTTTCCCTTTGTGCCTTTTTGGGGTCTATAGAGGTATTCTATCTGGAGGGAAGAGGCAGGAAAAGGCAAGGAGGGCTGGGGCTCAGCTCTGGGTAAAAGGGTTGCTCTTTCCTGACCCTATGTAGGGGAGACCTCAGGCCTCAGGCCTCCGAGGCAGCAAGGTAGTTCAACAGATTGATCACTGGTTTGGAGTCAGGAAGACCTAAGTTCAAATGCTGCCTGAGATACTTTTTAGTTGTGTGATCTTGGGTCAGTCACTCACCCTTGGTTAGCCTCAGCTCTGTAAAACAAAGGGGTTGGATTTGGTGACTTCTAAGGTTTCTTCTAGCTCTAAATCTGTGACCCTATGAAGCTAAAGCTTCTTAGAGGTGGTAACTGCGCCCCTGAGGGCAAGTGGGAAGCCTTGAGGAAGAGGAATCAGGTTCTGTTCTGTAGAAAGCATCAGCCTTCTTTCTGCACAGTCCTCAGCTGGCTCAGAGATGAAGGGCAGGGGGCCCTTCTACAGCTGGAGGGGAGTTTTGCTGCTAGGGGCCAGAACAAGGGTGTTTAAAGGACCGGGATATAAGAGGGAGAAGAGGTTTCAAATTGCTTCAAAGCAATTATAACAATAATAGGATTAATCTTATATTTACTAAATCTTATATGATCTTATATTTACTAAATATAAATAGTGTTTTAGTTTTTCCAATTACATGTAAAGATATTTTTAAACATTCACTTTAAAATATTTTTAAGTTCAAAAAAAAGTTCAAATTCAGCCTCAGACACTTGACACTTACTAGCTGTGTGACCCTGGGCAAGTCACTTAACCTCAATCACCTTGCCAAAAAACAAAACAAAACAAAACAAAAAAATTTTTTGAGTTCCAAATTTTCTCCCTACGTCCCTCACCTTCCGCTCTAAGACAGTAAGAATTTTAGATAGGTTATGTATCTGCAATCATGTAAAACATATTTCTATATTAGTCATTTTACTATTGAATTTTACAGCTTGGTGGTAAAGTGGATAGAGTGCTAGGCCTGGAGTCAGGAGGACCTGAATTCAAATTCAGCTTCGGATACTTACTAGTGGCAAGTCGCTTGACCCTTTTGCCGCAGTTTTCTCATTTGTAAAATGAGCTGGAGAAGGACATGGCAAACCGCTCCAGCATCTTTGCCAAGAAAACCCCCAAATGGGGTCAAGAGGAATCAGTTACGACTGAAAAAACTCAGTGACAACAAATTTGCCGTTAACAAGGCCCTCTACCTCTTGGCATTTCATTTGATCCTCACAGACAGCTCTGTGAGAGTGCCAGTGCAACTATATTCTCATTAAGCACTTACTGTATGCAAAGTAACTTCGAGGCGGGAGGGGGGAGCTGGTAGAGGCTGTGTGGAGGAGTAGGGAAAACATAAGTCTGCCCTTAAGGAGTTTACAATTGATGTCAATCTTTCAGGGCTAACTGATAACCAGAAACAAAATGGTTCCTAACTTGTGGTTTCTTTGTGGGTTTAAAAAAAAAATAGAGACCTAACTAGGTTAAGGCAACTGGAGCTTTGCTCCAGGGTACCAAAATTTTAAGGGCACTCACACTCCTTTCACTGTGTAGAAACAAATAAGCTTAACCTGTCCCCCATAGAGTAGCCTCATTATGTCCAATAATGACATACCCCACCAAAGTGTTTGTCTTTAAGTTTTTGAGGGCTCCTTTTTTGTATGTCACTTGCCTGGGTTGTGAAAGCTGCTATAAAAACAGGAAGGAGCTGTTTCTACTTTAATTTCTACTTTCTCAAGGTAGGGAAGATGGTGGGTATGAATTCCAGTCACTGAACTAAGGAAGAGTTCCTGAATTGGGGCGGGGGAGCCTCCCTCTTCAGTAGTATAGGTAGAGCTAAAGTTTCCTCATCTGTCAAATGAGCTGGAGAAGGAAATGACAAACCACTCCAATATCTTTGCCAAGAAAACCCCAAATGGACCCGACTGGAAATGACTGACCAGCTGTAAAGAGATGAGACTAATTGATATGGTGTCATTGATTGAGCTCTGGAAGGGACCTCAGAGGTCATTTTGTAGGTGAGGAAAGTGAGGCCCAGAAAGGTAAATGCCTTGCCTAAGGTCACAGAGAATAAGTGACCCAACTGTGATTTGAACCCGGGTCCTCCAATCTGAGTCCCTGTTCTCTTTTAGACCAGATCAGTGGTGGGCACCAAGGGTGGGGTGCTGCAGCCTGGTCTCCACGAGAGTTCCTCCTTAAATGGCTAAGTCTCCTCTTAGTTCTGGAGGTCTTGTTCTCTGACAGCCTCCTTCTTGGACTCTCCCCATCCTATGCTATTCCCTCTTGGCCCACCATTCCTCTGACCCCCAGCCTTCATACGACCTCTTTTTTCTCTCTCCTGACAGACGGTGGTCCGGGGCAGCACCATTGAAGTGGAGGGCTACATTTCTGGGCTGCTCAATGATATCCAGAAGCTCTCTGTCATCAGCTCCAACACCCTTCGGGGCCGGAGCCCCACCAGCAGAAGGAGAGCCCAGTCTCTCGGGCTCCTGGGGGATGAACGATGGGGCCCAGACACAGACATGTACCTTCAAAGTCCCCAGCCTGAGAGGGCTGACCCTTATGGTATCTACCTCAACTGCAACGGGGGAGCCAAAGCAGGCCGGCGAGAGATGATGTGGCCAGAATACCAGGCTGACCAGGCCCAGCCCAACGGGCTGGTGATGAAACCCAGTCCCTAGGGCCTGCAGAGTTCCAAGGCGCTGCCCAGCGATGCTTACAGCTCACTTCTTGCCTGCCCAGTCCACCCCTAGGGACTTCCCCTGCTCTGAACTCAAGCAGAGGTGGCAAGGTTGGGAGGCAGAATTCAGAGGACCGAAGACCCCAGTCCTGCCTGGTGGGCCCGGCTGGGGGCAGGCCCAGTGGGGAGGGCAGCCCCAGCCCCAAGACTCAAGAAAGCGGCTTGAAGAATAAGCTTTTCCGTAGCATGTTTATTTCTGATGGCAGTGGCAAGCCAACTCCAGCTGCAAAGAGCAAGGTAGGTGGGAGATGTGGTCTGGGCCGCATTACAAGACAATTTGAGAGTCAACACAAAATAGTGAATAGGGCACTGGACTTGGAATCAGAAGGACCCAAGTTCAAAACCCATCTCAGATGCTCACAAGCTCTGTGTCCCAGGTCAGGCTACCTAATCCTCTCTCAGAATTAGTTTCCCCATCTGTAAAAAGGAGTTGTACTCAATGTCCCCCAAGGTCTCTTGCAGCTCTAACTCTGTGATTCTATAAACTCCTCTATGTCGTGACTGACTCTTCATGACCCCATTTGGGGTTTTCTTGGCAAAGATACTGGAGTAGTTTGCCATTTTCTTCTCCAGCTCATTTTGCAAATGAGGAAACTGAGGCAAACAGGGTTAAGTGACTTGCCACTAGTAAGTGTCTGAAGCTGGATTTTAACTCAGGTCCTCCTGACTCCAAGGCCGGAGCTCTATCCACTTCCCAACCTAACTGCCCCTCAACAAATATTTATTAAGCCTTGTGCTAGGCACTGGAGATTAGAGACAAAAGTGAACCAGTCTCTGCCCTGAAGGAGTTTGTATTCCATGGTGGTGAGGGGAGGCAGGAAACACAACATGTATGTATATATTAAATAGGAAATGATGGGGGAGTCCATTAACCCCAGGTGGGGGTGGGGAATCAGGAAAGGTCTCATGAAGAAAGTGATGCTTAACCTGAGTCTGAAAGGAGCCTAGGGATTTTTATAGCAAGAGAAGTACATTGTAGGCATGGGGGATGATCAGTGCAAAGGTGTGGAGGTGGGAAATGGATAGGAAGAAGTGCTAAATGGAGCGCTATATGCAGAAGAGTAATGGGGAGTGATATGCTAGCCCATGAGATCTGGGGGAGCCCTGACGTTTCAGTCTGCTCCAAGAAGGTTCAGACTAATGTGACCAGAAACCCCAGGACCCAATCTGGAACCTTGGGGCTTTCCCAGACCTTGAGGTCAATCCTCATGAATCTGGCTGGTGACTCGGACAGTCCCTCAACCTCTCTACCCCCCAGCTTCCTCACCTATGGAACAGGAATAATAATAGCATTCAGCTTACTGGGTCAAGTAAGATAATGTATGTAAAGTGCTTTACGGCCCTTAAAGTGTTATATGATATTCATAGTTGACATTTACATAGCTCTTTGAGGTTTATAAAGCACTTTACATATATCATCTCTTTTGATCTTCACAGCAGCCCTTTATAAATGTCAGCTATTATTATTGGTATTATTATTCTGGCTTTTCCCCTAGAGATTTCAGAGCCTGAGGGGTGGGAGGTTTTATGAGAGACCTGGAAATTTTATTATGGAATATGGTAGAAGAGATTTAAGAAGGGGATTATTCCTGTCCCTCTGGGATGATTTTCAATCCTGGCTCTGCCACTTATTACCTGTGTGACTACTGGACAAATCATTTAACTCTTCTAAATCTCAGTTTCCTAGGGGCAGCTAGGTGGCTCAGTGGATAAAGCTCCAGCCTTGGAGTCAGGAGGATCTGAGTTCAAATCTCACCTCAGACACTTGACACTTACTAGCTGTGTGACCCTGGGCAAGTCACTTAACCCCGACTGCCTCACCAAAAAAAATAATAATAATGATAATAATAAATCTCAGTTTCCTGATCTGTAAAATGGGGGAGGGAATTGGACTAGCAGGTCTTTGAGGTCTCTTCCAGCTCCAGACCTATGATCCTAAGACATAGGGTTCATTCATCTCCAAGGGGAATGGAGTATCTGAATTCTGGAAGACCCTAGGATTCTTTTTTTTTTTTTGGTGAGGCAATGGGGGTTAAGTGACTTGCCCAGAGTCACACAGCTAGTGAGTATTATGTGTCTGAGGTCATATTTGAACTCAGGTCCTCCTGACTCCAGGGCTGGTACTCTATCCACTGCACCACTTAGCTGCTCCTAAGCAGTAGGATTCTTAAGGGAGTGCTTGATTGGGAAGCCATACCGGGAAACTCCTATATCAGCCCATCTGCTCTCGTAATGACAAGGTAGGCCCCGTGTTTATCTGGGACTTGCACGGGAATCACGGGTCTCTTGGGCAGTCCAGCTGAAGTAGTCCCCCCTTCCTCCCCCTTCCTCCTGCTATCTTAGTTGGGTTCATAATAATAAATTGTTGACATTGACCAAGGCTGCTAGGAGGCTGAGATTCACTAGCCCTGAGGAGCAAATTTTAACTTATTTTTAATTCTCCCATCCACTTTGATCTACATTTTCAAGGTCTGAATTTTCAAGGTCATTTCCAGCCTCCTGATCACATTTCCAAATCAAGCATACCCTAAGGCAATGGTTTGTGTTCCTGCCCTCTCACAGCAGGAAAAAGCTGGGGTCACTTTTACATTCCCAGTTAGAACCACATAATGAGGAAGTACATGCATGAGCTCACGGGCTGGAATCTAGGCATTGAATCTAGGGGTCAGAGAGCCCAAGATCTCTTGGGTGGGCAGGGATTGGGCCCTGGCTTTATGGAAGAGTTATAGGAAGCAAGAGATGGGCGGGGGAAATCCTGTTACATAGAGTTCTGGTTACAAGCTCTTAGAACCTGATATGTGAAAGGCAGGATGGCCTAATAGATAGGGAGCTAGCCTTGGAACTGGGAAGACCTGGGTTTGAATTCTACCTCTGACTCATGCTGGCTGCATAATCTCGGGCTACACACTTAATCTCTCCAGTGTCCCAGGCAGCTCTCAAGACTGTAAATTATTTAGCAAGTACCAACTTGCCCCGGGAGAGGGAGTTTCCCCTACCAGTGAAATCAGAGGTCCTGTCCAAAAGAAATCACTGAAATTTCAAACACAAGAGTGAGGTGGTCAGACCTGTTACAAATTAGGAAAATTACTTGGCAGGAGGAGGAAGGATTGAAAAGAACAGAGATTAGAAGAGGGAAGAACAGTTAGAAGACTCTAAGGACAGGCCAGGAGAAGGGGGGAATCATCTTGAGTGGAGATGATGGGAAGGATGTCAATGTTGCTGTGGGGGGAGAATTAGCAGTTGATTGGATCTAGGGGTGGGGGTGGTGAGATAGGTCCAAACTTCTATGTTCAGTTGTGTCTGACTCTTTGTGACTGCCTGGACCTTACTGTCCCTGTGATTTTCTTGGCAAAGGTACTAGAGTGGTTTACCATTTCCTTCTCCAATGGATTAAGGTGAACAGAGGGTAAGTGACTTGTCCAGAGTCACACAGCTAGTGAGTGTTAAGTGTCTGAAGCCAGATTTGAACTCAAATCTTCCTGACTCCAGGCCCAGTGCTCTATCCACTGAACCACCTAGCTGTCTGTTTTAGTACCTATGGACCAAATACAAAATCCTGTTTGGCTTTCTAAGACTTTCATAACCTGGCCCCTTCCTACTTCTCCAGTACACCATTTCTCTCTACATACTCTATGATGCAGTGACACTGGTCTCCTTGCCGTTCCTTGAACAAGACACTTTATCTCCCTACTCCAAGAGTTCTCACTGACTGTCCCCTGTGCGTGAAATATTCTTCCTCCTCATCTCCTCAACCTAGCTTGCTTGGCTTCCTTCAAGTCTTAGCTAAAGTTCTACTTTTAAAAAATATTATTTTTTTCTCAATTACATGTAAAGACAATTTTTAACATTCATTTAAAAAAATTTTTGAGTACTAAATTTCTTCCCTTCCTCTCTCATTTTGCACCTCCCTGAGACAGTAAGCAATTTGATATAGGTTATACATGTGCAATCATGCAAAACATATTCCCATATTAGTCATGTTGTGAAAGACACAGACCCAAAAGGAAACACACACACACACACACACAAAAGTGAAAAATAGTGTGCTTGAATCTGCATTCAGACTCCATCAGTTCTTTCTCTGGTGGTGGAGAGCATTTTTCATCATGAGTCCTTTGGAATTGTCTTGGATCATTGTATTGCTGAGAAGAGCTAAGTCTTTCACAGTTGATCATTGTACAATATTGTTACTGCGTACGGTGTTCTCCTGGTTCTGCTCCAAGTCCCACCTTGTACAAGAGGCCCTTTCCATTTTCACTTAATGCTGATGTCTTCCATCTGAGATTATTCCCCAATCGATCATGTAACTATCTTGTTCTTCCATAGTTGTTTTCATGTTGTCTCTTCTATGTAATTGTGAGCTCCCTTAGAACAAGGACGGTTTTTTACTTTCATTGTAACTCCCAGTGCTTAGCACAATGCCTGGCACATAGTAGGTGCTCAATAAATACTAGCTTACTGAATACTGACTGATTAGGAGAGTGGTAGTGACTTCAACAGAAAGAGGGCAGTTTGGAGGAGGAGGTTAGGGAATGGTAAAGGGAGTGAGTGAGAAGACCGGCGGTTTCATTTTGTCTGGGATGTTGACAGGACATTCAGGAGATGCCCAATAAGCATTTGACATTGTGGGACTGGAGATCAGGAGGAAAATGAGGGGGTAGATGGAGAGATTTATGAGTCACCTGTGTTGAGATGGTAATTAAATGCATCAGAGTTGATGAGATCCCCAAGGGAGAAAGTATATGAAGAACACAGCCCAAGGCAGAGCCCAGGGAGAAAACTATGGTTAGGGGACCAGAGAGGGATAATGATCAAGCAGAGAAGCAGTTAGGTAGGTAGGAGGAGAATCAGAGGAGAACAGTGGCAGTCACTTAGGAAGGAGAGAGTATATAAGTATATGAGAGTATATAAGATGAAGGGATGGTTGACAACACCGAAAGCTACAGATGAGAGCTGGGGGGAAAAAAGCCAATGAGTTTAGAAATTAAGAGAATTGGTAATCTGTGAGAGAGCATTTCTGTAGAGTAGTGGGGTTGAAAGCCAGATTGCAAGGGGATGAGAAGTGGGTAATAAGAAAGGAGAAGCAATGTGTATGCACAGTTCTTTCTAGGAGCTTGGCAATGAAAAGAAGAGATGTTTTATGATAGCTTGAGATGATTGCAAGGTTCAGAGAAAGGTGTTTTTGTTTGTTTGTTTAAATATGGCTGAGACCCGACCATGTTTTTGTAGCTTGGTAA